TGAGATTGAGTCAACTCTGAAAACTCGTCATTGGAAAGAAGTCACAGTTGAGATTTGGCTTGTCTTCCAGAGTGACTGACAGTTGCTTGACGCTGGTTCACTTTAAAGAAACTCCCTTTACCAGCTTTGTTTCTTGTATATCCCAATAAAGTTGTGATTGAGAAATAAATGTTAGCTAGGTAGGAATTACTATTACACTGTTTCTAATTATAGAAGTTTTCTCATAGTGAACTAACTCATATGAAGTCAGATGAAATGTGTGTGTGTGTGAAAGAGATCTGCATTCTACTGTATATCAAGACTTACCTTGGATTCACGCTGCTTGGCGTGGAATATGTGTGAAGCGCCAATAATTAACTGTGATCGCTATTGGAAGTGGTTGAATGAATCGATAACTGGTCAGACTGTCCAGTACTCTCACCCTTTATAGTCTGTAGTTACACACACACACACGTAGATACAGGTGGATAGACAGATGGATAGGTGTATGTATCAGAGAGGAATTTATTGGAAGTCGATGTGTACTATTTATTCTTGTTGTCCGTTATATGCGTAGGTGCACAAATTCTTCACTATGCTTATTGCACGATGCCACACACTACATCATAGCACACAACAGAGCATAACAGAGTAAGCACTTCTCGACTGTGTTAATATTCCATGGCTTACTACACCCTGATATCATTAATGAACTCAGGTTGTTTGTACTTAAGCATAAGGCTCTTTATGATTAGTAATGATAAGCAGTGGCTAGCAGTGGAATCCTGCCTCTCAGTGAGCAATGTTGTTCCAACCGGGACTTGGACTCGGGAGCGATCGCTTCAGAAGCGAGAGCGTTATCCACTACACCGCCGAGCCACGATAGCTACTTCTTTATGATTGTTTATTTGCACTTTTTTTGGTCAATTATCTAGAGATTTATTGAGGAGACCAGGAGGTGGTTCAACTTCCTTTCCTCAGCTCCCATACATTTTTCTCTCATTTGTTGTCATTCCTTTCGTGTCCACCCAAACCTTTTGGTTTGCTTGAAGCTGTGCGCTTCGGTGTTGAGTTCCCACTTCGATTTGTCTACCTATCTGTTTGTTTGAATTATACAATAAGACAAAACAGATTGCTGCAGTGAAGCAGAGTTTTTTTCTTTTCAACGAAACCATTTATTAAGCTGTACAATCGTGAATATATATATATGTATATATATATATATATATATATATATATATATATATATATATATATATATATATATATATATATAGTCATCATCAATATCAACCCGATCGATAGCTGCTACCATGACGTGGTGGTCGGGCTTGCATATCACAATGACACAACGAGCTATGCTGGTGAAACGCTTGCTCCCTAGAGGTCCTACCATACCAGAAAGGTCTGTTGGATAGTGGTTAGACGAAAAGCAGTTACGTTGTAGTGTAAATTACTACATTATGATGGGGGGTCTGAGGGCGAAGTCGTACTGCTGCTAGCTGGGTGGGGTGTGACAGCATTAAGGTGTTCCCCTTCGATGACCAGCAGTTTCATGCTGATGCTGCCTTCTCAGTGGAAGGGGGGGGGTTAGAAAAGGTCGGCCCCGAAAATAACACACTCCACCATGCCCCACGGTCTGCCACGTTGGCGGTGTTGATTTATTTATCGTTTCTTTTCAACCATCCGACCCCAAAAATACAAAAGTTCAAAATAATCATACTCAAAAGGCTGAGTGTGACAGGCCTCAAATAGCTGTCCGATGGGCTCTGTAGTCACACAAGTCTCTTTCAGGTACCTTAAGAAGAAATAGCCTTCCAGGGTATGGGCAACCGGGGAGTGTCAACTGTCTTCACAACTCTATCAGCACTCAAGTTTCCTCAGACTGCTATCCACCTCCCCCATCATTAACCCACAGATATATGTAGTACAAAGGGGAGAAAATTCCAGAATTGTTTCCGATCAGCGGTCGAAATCTATTAAGCAATAAAAGGGAATCATATGATACAAATGAGGGTTTAGAGTAGAAAAAATAAACCCGAGAGTAAAACAATGAATGCAGTTATGTAAAAAAGGCTTTATCTAGAAAATGTGATGCTTTGTGATGGGCATGGCGAAGTTGAAAATACTTTATTTGGACAAACGCAGTTGGTTTGAACTTATGCATGACTAATGTTACTTCAGCTGTACTTAAATGCTTTGACCTCACTCGCTTTGAGTGACTTGATCGAACCATGCAGAGGATTTTGAGAAAAAGTTTCCAAAACAACTTGAGTTTTTGGTTATGTGACTGAAGATAAATTTCTGCCTTTCCATTAGACTCCGGGCTGAATCGTATTCTTGTATGAGTTATATAAATGGTTTCATGGTGTAATTCATCTACTCGGTTTCACATAATTATCCTATGTGTGAATTGAATTATCGATGATGTGAACGAATAGTGGTCATCATTAAAGAGCCCCCAAAATGACCATGAATAGGCGACGAGATTACTATCAGGTTGATCAATAAGCGATTAGCAGTGGGAAAATTGTGTGTGTGTGTGTATGTAACGCAAGAAAGTCTGTGTCTGATGATACTTTATCACTCAGTGCAAAATCTGTTCTCAAGCACTTTTGTTTTGTTATCTCTCATGAAGTATACGTTTCTATAGCTCCCATAATGAAATGATCTGAACATACTTGTGTAAAGAAGTTGGTATAGCCTCTTCATAAACTATCTCATGAAATAGTGGAACAAGTTTCGGCAGTACTTTTCTAAAGATTACCTTCTTAAAGTAATTCTCGTATCAGTATGCGTATTTTATACCCTTAAAATTGTTTTTCAATGTTCTTGAAAGGTGATTGGTTGTTCAAGTTAGTTTGTGACTTTGGAAGTCATGCATTAACTTGATCAAATTGTTTTTCAGTGTCGATGAACAGGTTAAACGTTGTAGGTTAATTTCCTAGCTCATAGGTTACCCTAGTAGGACTAAACTTCAATGACCGGAAATCTTTAGGATGACCACTCACAGTGTTAGATAGTGTATTCAAAGTCATTCGTTAATTTCCGTCTATTAAGTTTTTCACGTTGTATACGCTTTTGGTGAGTTGTGATAAAGATTTCATTATCGGTTATTTGCATAGAGTTGGATTTGAAGTTCCGTGGAGTAGGTAGTATGAAAGAAACACATGAATTTCTTGTTCGGAAACACTAACGTAACCAAAGAAGGATGACTTAAGCAAGACTGGCTATTGTTCGTCGCTCCACCAACTAGAGTATACACAAACGAAGCTGAATATATGTAGCATCATCTTCGAAGGTTTTTAACAAGATCGTGAAAGGCTGTGGTATACTGTCATATAGATGAGTGGCAATACAGACGGTGGTATGGTTTCAAAATATAGATATCCTTATTTTTCATGTAAAACAGATTTATAACTGGCAAAAAAGCACCATTTTCCTGAATAATTACATTATCCTTTGTATACTTGATTCTGATTGGTCAATGTATATTCGCAAGTGATTGGCTATCAGTAAAGTTTAGTTCTACCATAAGGTTGATGTATATCAACGTTGTAGGAGTTCCACAGTTCATCCAATGAATAAGTAAAACATTAATTTTAACTTCAGATACAATTGTATGCGGATGAAAATTCAAGCGATAAGTTAGTTGTAAACACACTTATGTATTAATTATGGATGCATTAACAGATTATAATACTTAAGTATTGACACTATCATGAAATTCACTTTCTAAAAGTGATAGGGTAGTGGGCGTTGCTGATAACAATGGATATAAGTAGTATATGTTGAGAGGGTGGCAGAAATCATAGGGAATTACCAGCAATGGGTAAGGATTTCGCAAAGAGAAACACAAGAGACAGGGCAGATGTATGAAGAGCAAATCGAGAAAGAAGCATATATTGTAAATGACGGTTTTAGTGCAAGGTGTACCACGTTTAAAGACTACTATCCCACTTGTTGACAATGGACATTCCTTCCTGTATACGGGTCTTTGGCTTCTTTCAGTAGATTGGCTCGAAATATAAAGTCAAATGTACAATGAGATATCTAGTTGATAATTTAATAATTCTGCTTATTATTTACTTAACAATTATATAAACAAACTGTTCAACAGACATTGAACATGTTTTTAAGGTTGCTTGAAAGCAAATATGTATGAATAACGTACAGCCTAATATAATTTCATATTCGTCTAGGTTACTACACTTCAAATACCTCAACCGTCTACCAGTTGGTGGTATGTTTTCACGTCTTCGTTTGACCATTTGTTTCTTCCTTCTTAACTACAGACTCTGAACAATAAGTCAATCAACTAATGATCTATACACAGAATTAACTGGATACATTATTGAATAAAAATCTGAATATTCCGCTGAATAAGCTATGGTGTGTAACAACCAGTTGTTGATAAGTTTTCGTCTAGCCTGTAGATACGTGAGTTGTTGCAGGAGTGGGCGCAGAACAGTGTGAGTTTGAAGGTGGCCACGAGAATCTGAAAAAGAAAAACCGTAGAGAAAAAGTGAGCCGACGACTCAGCAAGTACACAGGATGTAATTACAACGAAGGGGTGAGGCAATCTACAAGTCGAAACTCTAAGGTGTATGAGTAAGATTTCGAATGCGCTACGGTGTACACAGTGAGAAAAATTTCAAAAATATCTCTTGTAGACTTCAAGGTCAAAACATAACCTTACACCATTGAATGCGCTGAACAATGGGCGAGTCATCCATCAAAGAAATGTGTGAAGTAGGAAATATTGTTTTAATTTACTACGCACACCAAGATTATGGTAGTTTGCTTGATTTTGGCTAGCAGAGGAATCCAGGACACGCGTTTCGGCCCATTTGGGACTCGTCAGCTGGATGTACCTGGACCTCAGTCAAGGATGTTATTACCACTGAAGCATGAACCTCGTGCCCACCGCCTCAGACTCCAAAGCGTTAACCATTATGCCACGGAGGCATGACAGCCACTTCTTGCACAATGAGTACTAGTGATTACTATTTATTGACATACTTGTTATTCTCCGTTGCTTTGTTGCATCGAATTGTGCAACTTCTGTTGGCATATGGGCTCCTACGTGAATGCTCTCATATTGCTTGCAGGGAGCAGGTACATCCAGCTGACCAGTCTCGAACAGGATGAAACGCGCATCCAGGATTCTTCTGCCAGCCACAACCAAACAAATTAACATAATTAACATTCAGGCTATATTGAAACATCCACATAGAAGCCCATATACCAATGGAGGTCAAACAATTAGATCCAATTAAACAACAGAGAATAACAAGTATATCAATAAATAGTAACACCAAGATTATTTCATTATTATTATTATTATTATTATTCCTTTGGGTTCCTAGTGAAACAGAGGGCTTCAGTAGCACACCTCCATTGCACTCTCTTCTCTGCAGTCTTCTCAACCTGGCACCACGACTGCCAACAAGCTCTCATTTCTTCCTCACACCATCTCCTACATATTACTCTCGGACACCAAACTCGTTTTTTCCCATTTGGATTCCACTCGAGTGTCTGGTGTGCCACGTGATGTCCCCGAATGGTCTTCTCAGTGTATGTTTAATCCAATCCATCTCCACATTCTTCTATTGCATATTTGTTGGGTGATAGGTTCTTGCTTCGTTGGTTGGTTACCAGCCACAGTGAGTTCATTGTTGCTTATTCTCATTATTCTGGTCATATGATCTTCAGTATTGAGCCAGCATAGGCAGCTGTTGATGAACGTTTGTAGTTTGTTGAAAGTGGTTTCCGTGACACACCAAGTTTCTGAAATATCATCACATAGAAGCACTGACTTGACTGACATTGGTGTTGAAAATCCGGATGTTGTTCACGCTTTATGCTGAATGCAGTAAATCTCCACACTGATTATTTCAGATTAATGCAGGAAGGCCTGTCTTGCTGTCTTTCCTATCCTGGTTTTAACATCCTCTTCTGCGCCTCCGCCTGTAGTTAAAAGAAAAAAGATTGTATTGAAACTTATTTCCAATGCTCTAGTTATTCTAGAACATTCATAGCAACTATAGTTGGGATACTTTTGTTAGTGGCTAACAGTGGAATCTAGGACGTGCAATTTGTCACATTTGAGATTCATCACCCGGATGTATGTGCACCCCAAAGAAACTTGAGCTTAGTACTTATCGTTTCAAAGGTCAAAGCATTATCCAGTAAACCATAAAGCGTTCGAGTAGACTCTTGTACAACCGGTGTCCGTTGTTATTTAACGGATATTGTGATTTGGGACAAATAGCTATAGTTAGCATGTGTAACGCATATCACAATCACCTCAGTTGACGAAGACTCCTAAACTTTATTCTTCAATAATATATATACATATAATAGTTCTATTAAGCATGAATGATGTGTAAAATGTAACAGTGACCCATCAAAAAGGCTTCTATGCAAGATATTCATGGAAAAGGATACTTAAAATCTTAATATACTGAATTCATATGTTTAAGCAATAAATCCTTGAATTCACTGAGCATACATTATCGATATTTTCATTCAGCTTGACAAAAGATTTGTCAAATGCAATGGAGAGGGTTATTATTCATTTTCTCAGGTCAAGTGATTTGTGTTTTTATAGCTTCAATACACTTGATACTATGGTTTAAAAGGGTTACGTTTTTCATGAACTAGTTAAATGTTGAATAGGCTGAGTAAACAGCTAACATGTTTTCACTTGATTCTCTTTTCCGTAGAGAATTATCGAAGAAATCACAATATGAGAACAAAAAGCTTACAAGAATTTATTCAAAAGATGTACCACATGTCACCATGGTACATTAGACGATGAACAACATTATTATTATTATTATTATTATTTTTCTCTCGCGTTCCTAGTCGAACATACGGCTTCAGTAGCACACTTCCACTCCACTCCCTTCTTTGCAGTCTTTTGAACCTGGCACTACGACGGCCCAAAATCCCTTATTTCTTCCTCACACCATCCCCTACATGTCACCCTAACCTCCGACGCCCAACTCATCGTTTCTTCTGTACATTCAACTCGAGGGCGTAACTTGACGCGTGATGTTCCCAGTCAACCTTATCAGTGTATGCCTAATCCAATCCATCTCCACTTTCTTCGATTGCATATTTGTTGGGTAGTAGGTTCTTGCTTCGTTGGTTCCTTACTAGAGTTCCTTGTGGCTTATTATTTCTGGCCATCTGGTCTTCAACATCGACAAAGCGTAGGCGCAGCTGTTGATGTGATGTGTGTGTGTGTATGTGTGTAGTTTGTTGGAAGTGGTTTCCGTGACGCACCAAGTTTCTGAACCATCATCACATAGAAGCACTGACTTGACTGACATTGGTGTTGAAAATCCGGATGTTGTTCATGCTTTATGCTGAGTGGAGTGCAGAAGATCTCCACACTGATTATTTCAGATTAATGCAGGAAGGCCTGTCTTGCTGTCTTTCCTATCCTGGTTTTAACATCCTCATCTATGTCTATGCTGCCTGTAGTTAAAACGATGCTGCCTATGCAGGTGAAAGAGACTACTTAGTTTAGGTTTCTCCTGTTGATGGTAATTGCAGCTTGTTGTTGTTATTGATGCTGTTGTTGGTTGGGTATCTTCATCACTTCTGTCAAATTGTTAGTTTTCGCCTGTAGATCTTCGAGTTTGTGCGACAAGACATTAGAAATCAACCATCATTAGAGAAATCCAAATCGTGTAGGCTCTTTACATCGGTCCAGCAAGCGTATGCCCCTCGTCTAGCTCCTCACAGTTCGCTGCATGATCCAGTCAACCACGATCAGGAATATCATGGGTGATAGTAGGTGGCAACCTTGTCTTATTCCTGTCTTCACTTCAAAAGCTTCACTGAGCTCTCCATTGTGGATCACTTGGCATATGGCGTCATCATATAGATGCTGAATGAGGTTGATAAAGATCTGTGGCGCTCAACATTAACTGCGTAATTTCACTGGCTGACTCAACTGAATTTATACAGAGTGCATAAAGGTGTAATAATTACCTTAGAATAGATAACATGAAATTGGTTACAACCTAGTGCAACCACTCACTCACCCACTCATTCACTCACAGTCAGTCAGTCACTCAGTCTGCAACTCACTCACTCACTCTTCAAAATGGTGTTAAACTATCTATTTTTATCTCTTGTTTAAAACTCACCATCTTCTAATGAACAGTCTTTCCGTTACTGATTAAGCTTCCAGTCCAAATGAAATAATGTCTGATTCCTATTGTCATCATTGAAATAAACATTGAATTGACATGGAGGTTGATAAATGATCCACTATCCAATTCTTTTAATGATAAACTGATTTTGAAGGGAAAAAAATAGTTTGGTGATGGATTTAGTTGAGAAGCGATCCCAGTTGGATAGTTGCCATCGCGAGAATATTCGCATCTCACACTATGGATATTCAATTATCTCTAAGTTGGTGGCCTTCGTGAACCACTGACAATGACATGTAGCAAGATATAAGAATGTTCATCAACCAAAACATACAACTTAATCTCAACGTTCTTCAGGTGTTCATTTCTGTGTGAATATGTCTACCGTTTGATTATTTTCCTTTATAGAATGCGCTATTAAAACTGTCATACTATGGCTTGGTTAATCGGTTTATCAACCAACATTTGTCTCTTTCCCATTCATGGCTTGTTATCTATTCTGAATGTTTTTCTATCCATTTAACTTATTTCCTGTCTTGATATCGGCTTTATTTTTCCATTATTTAAAGTAACGGACACTCTTAAGAATAGACTCCTATCTCGTGGTCGATTTAAGTGTCAACGGAGTAAACTCCAGTTTAGATTTTCGTTTTTCTAGGCTGTCAACTTAGTTTTTTTACTGACCAAGACTTAATAATCTTTGTCCTAACTCTTCTATTCGCCGTATTAAGCAAGCACGAAGTCAACCATAATTCGTATTACTAGACCCTATATTTGAGTTGATGGAGTGAAAAGAGGGGCATACGCTTGCTGGACCGATGAAAACACCCCACAAGAAGATTTGGATTTCGCCAATGATGATTTATGTCTAATGTCTCGTCGCACAAACTCGAAGATCTACAGGCGAAAACTAACAAGGTGACTGAAGAGGTGAGGCAGCGAAGGAAGACGGGACTTCCTTCAGGTGAACATAGAGAAGACAAAGGTGATGAAGATACTCACCAATAACAACAAGCACCAATCACCATCAAAGGGAGAAACCTAAAGGAAGTTGTTCCCTTTACCTACCTAGACAAAGCAGCATCGGTTCATCTACAGGCAGCACAGACATAGACGAGGATGTCAAAACCAGGATAGGAAAGACAGCAAGACAGGCCTTCCTGCATTAATCTGAAATAATCAGTGTGGAGATTTACTGCATTCAGCACAAAGCGTGAACAACATCCGGATTTTCAACACCAATGTCAGTCAAGTCAGTGCTTCTATGTGATGATATTTCAGAAACTTGGTGTGTCACGGAAACCACTTCCAACAAACTACACACACACACATCACATCACATCAACAGCTGCCGTCTACGCTCATTCGATACTCAAAATCAGATGGCCAGATCAATAAGAATAAGTAACAAGGAAGTCACTCTGGCTGGCAACTAACCAAGAACCTAACTAAGAACCTATCTATCGCCCAACAAATATGCAATCGAAGAAAGTGGAGATGAATTGGATTAGGCATACACTGAGAAGGTCGATTGGGGACATCACGTATCAGGCCATCGATTGGAATCCACAGGGGAAACGACGAGTTGGGTGTCGGAGGTGAGGGTGACATGGAGGAGATGGTGTGAGGAAGAAATGAGAGCTTGTGGGCAGTCGTAGAGCCAGGTTCAAAAGATTACAGAGAACAGAGTAGAATGGAGACGTGCTAATGAAGCTCTATGTTCCATTGGGAACCCAAGGGATAAATAATAATCAATAATGATCTGCGACTATTTACAGATAAGCTTAAACTTACTGACGCACAAATCTCTAAAGTTCACTTAACATATAGTTGTCTTCAGAATTTTCGCCCCATCAATTTTTTTTCTAAATTATTAACTGTATAAACCAACCACATCTGATTCATTGTATATCAACTCAGTTGAAATAAGCCAGTCACTTGAAATGTCAACATCTTGCAATGATGGTTGATTACATATTTCGAATGTTTAAACACTGAATTCTCCATGGAATCACTTAAATCTGAGTTCCTTAGTTAGCTAGCTAAAGTAGGCTTAGGCTGGAAAAACGCTTCAGTGTGGTCAGAATAGAACATTGCATCAGTACAGAAGCAAGCCTTTGACTGCTCGTTTGAGCTGAATACTACCTTGTTACTTGTGTGCCAAACTGGAATGTTAAGCAGTAATCTCTGATTTTTGTTGCCACTGACAATGATGAAGCACCTTAGTAACGATAAATCAGGTACTAAGTGAGTCTAATAGTGTAGCCTTTCAATATTTGTGGGATTCTGTTATTCTTCACTCTTCGTGATGTGAAATTAACTACAAACCAATGCCAAGTCACAGAAGAACAAGTAACCAAACGAGTTACTGAAAAACTTCAAGTTGACAGGAGACAATCAGTAGGAAGTTGTGCTTTAACTAGATTTCGTACTTTTCAATGCTCATCAGCCAACTGTATCTTCAACAATGAAGAAGTTGATATTCTCTTAGCAATTCAAACTGACATCATCATAACAACGAATTGAAAAGGTTTACCATAAAACTATTTGCACCAAATCATATGGACTATTCTCATTAGACAATAATCGATGTATGTATCCATTTCTCAGTGCCAACAGAAGTTTATCGATCAAGTTTAAAGCTGTTACATTTTGAACTAAATTTCCATATTTCTCATGAACAGATTATTATTAGTCTTCCCTTAGGTTCCTAGTGGAACATAGAGCTTCATTAGCACGTCTCCATTCTACTCTGTTCTCTGTAATCTTTTGAACCTGGCTCTACGACTGCCCACAAGCT